AGCGGGACTGACCTAGGGTGAATTTTAAGTAGGGACAATTTTAATGATTTTAACAAGACACAGCTATAAATATTTGGTTTTTAATTGGCTTTTATAGGGGAAATGTTTTTGTATTGTTTTTAACATGCTGTGAGCCGCCCTGAGTCCCATGGGGAGAAGGGCGGCATATAAGTTAATGATAAATAAATAAATAAATAAAATAAAAATAGTTTGAAATCTCAAGATAGGAAACATCACTAAATTAATATTTGAAATGTTTCATAGCAAAACATTTTGTGCACCCCGGCTTCTAATTTTTTAATTATATTTGATCTTGCTGCTTATAGTTAAATGTAATATTATAATTAGTCCTGCCTTTTAAAAAATCTACCTCTTTGTCTAGAAGACTACTGCCTTTACCAACTGGAGCATTGCTATAGTCACCTAGAAAAACCCCTTTCCATTGTTATAATCACCTAGAAAACCCTCTTTCTTCCCAGGATAGCCCTAGACTGGGCCAAGACATTATGGTGCCAGAGCTGTAATCCACAATATACAATCTAGGTGCCCTTGCATTATAAGGTGTTGAGAGGCAGTGCGGAATGTTTGTTGTCCTTTAGCATCAGCTGTCTCATACAAGAGTTGAGTTTGGTGTTGGTCTGCACAGAATTTACATGAAAAATGTTGGCAAGTGATCTTCCCACTAAAAGATTTCTAGAATTTATTAGAAAAGTTGATATTAATATTTGGCTTTATTGCCTAAATGGCCATCCATGAATGCCATTTAGAAATACGTTTGCTTTATCATTTGCAAAATAACCTTTTATGTTTGTGTATGTTCGTGTTTCTTTTAGGCACTGAGCCGATGTCAGCTAAAGCACGCCATTTCATTGTGGCAGCTCCTTTCTAGTCATAAATCAGAACAGCTGCTGCATTTGAAAAAGGTAGGATGTGGATAAGGATGTGCTCCCTAGACACTTTTTGTCGCTGTTTTCTCTCTGCTCCCCGCTTAACTGTTTCTCTCCGTCTCTTCCTCATAATGTATTTTCCAGGATCCTTTTGGAGAGATCAGCGCAGACTATAAAGAGGAACTCACAGTGGATAATATCGATCTTCTCAAAGCTTTCCTCACCCAGACAGCGCTGGAGTCCTTCCTTCAAGAGTTGCATGAAATGATCATGCTGAAATTGAAACATGCCAGAACTGGAGAAGAGTACAGTCCTACATGGAGGTAAGAGTGTGAGCAGCCCAATCCCTTTTAGAGTGAAATACATCCTGTTTTGCAGAGTATCTTATTGTTTTGGGCTTATTGGTTTTCTTTTTTTCCAGCCTGAAAGAAGCATTTATTCCATATCTTGAAGGAAAAGGTAGCAGTGAGCTTCAGGACTTGGATGATATGTTCCCAGAAGATATCCAGGTTTCCCAGTGTATCGCTGCCTGGAAAATAGCTGCTACTCTTAAACGGGGTGGATGCGGTCCAGGAAATTAATCCAGACACTTTTCCACTGTTCCTCACTCTTCATTGATGAGCAGAGCAGTGTATTTAATTGTTGGTTTTTCTTTATACTTGTACTTACTTGTACAAAAAGAAAGGAAGGAGATAACAAATTTTTGCACTTGGGGTGATCCTAAATTAAAGGATTGTGGTGCTATATGTGAATAAATAGTGATGCACAAACATAAAGGAGTTGGTGCTTTAGATCAGTGGTTCTCAACCTGTGGGTCGGGACCCCATTTGGGGTCGATCGACCATTTCATGGGGGTCGCCAAGCAAGGCTGTCTGCCATTTTTTTTGTCCGCCATTTTTTTCCCCCTTTTCCGGCGGGTGCTTTACCTCCCTTGGGCTGGGCCAGCTGGTGGTCGGCCTGCTCCGTCTCTGCCGCTTGCCAGCTACGCCTCAGCCGGCGCAGGGGGCAGAACCACGCATGTGTGGCGCTCCCGGGCAGGGAAAGTCCTCGACTTACGACCGGTTGGGTAGTCCTCGACTTACGACTGGTTTAGTCCTCGACTTACGACCGGTTTAGTCCTCGACTTACGACCGGTTGGGGTCACGGCATTAAAAAGGTTGAGAACCATTGCTTTAGATAATGAAGGATTTCTAGAAAATACAAGTTGGATAGCTACATTTCAAAGAAAAGTATTTTAATTGTTAACAGATTTCTGAAAGGACCATGTAACATCTATAACTTTGGGTTTATAGACTTCATTATAAATTTTCCTCTTTAATCTATTTAGAATTGGCAGGGAGCAGAGAAACAACCTTCTTTCCCTCGACTTCCCTGGATTTTATAAATGCTATCAGACATAATTTCTTTGTAATTTTCTTTTCTCATATACTGAATTGTCTACTTCTCTGAGACTACGTATTTGAGCAAGTAGATAGAATCCCAACCATGTTTTACTGATAGTCTGAATTGAATACTATATGAAACAGGCCATGAGGTTGCGCTTTCTTTGATTTACTGAGTTTTTTTTCTAAGCAGTTTTGGAAATTATTTTTTTTCCTGTTAAAAGATGCTCTAAATAAATAAAAAATAAAAGACTGAAAGTTTTTGGCTGCCAAAGATAAGTATGTTTTTAAATAGTTCCATTCTTTTTTAATAGTTAATTGACATTTGTATCAAGTTATGCATTAGGCATTGTCATTCCAGCCCTCTAGAACTTAAAGAAATGGAGTTTGTGTTCTTCCTTCGATTGTACGGGGATAATGTCTTAATAGAGGTAGCTATGCTGGCAGAGAACAGTATGCCTCCACTTACTTTTTCACTATTCAAAAATTGCAATTTATAAAAGTTACTTTCTAGCCTTTTTTTTCTTATAATAAAAAAATCCTTGTTACAAAAGTGTTCAGACTATGTTCCTTATTTCTTCTACAGCACCATACAATGTTATTACCTTTCTTGAGCTGGGGAACATGACAGTTTGGTTTTACTGCTTAACATTTAATTGACATTTAGCAATTCACTAAAACCGTTAACAATTTTACCACAGATTTCTTGGAAGCAGGGAGCTTTACCTCACATCTCGTCATTGCTATGTGAATGTAATCCATGAACCATAGATTTAACTTGTTCAGAGATTCTTTGTGTGAGAGGAACCTTCTATAAGAATTGGGATATCAACCACACATTCTAATCATTGGTGCAAAAGAAAAGTCACCCAACCTGCCACCTGTAAGGAAAATTGGGAAAACGTGTTCTAATGGTAATTTCTCCTTTCATTTTAGTTAATGAGAGGGTAATCTTTTCTCTGTTCAATGGTAATTTTTCGTGGTTTATAGTATGTCCAATAAAGTCAGTTCTTTTTCCCCCTTTATGAAATTCCCTTAATTGGGTTTTTTTTTTAACTTAAATTTCCTGGAGTTGTACTCTGTAAGATTACACATTCGGAGCCGCACAGCAACGAGATTTTCCATTTCTAATTAGGAAGCAGGAAATTTGTTTCCTCATCAAACTAATTACCCATAGCTATCGCTAGAGAATGGGTGTAATTTCTGGATTTATTCACAAGCGTGTTGAACACCAGTGGCTTTGCACCAGAACTGCCACGTCTGGACTAAATCTCGAATGGTAGACGTTATCTAAAACCATCTCCCGGTTGCCATCTAGTCGTGCGCTAAGCGCGTATATGGCTGCGGACGCTCTCGGTCGAAAAAGCTGAGGGTTGTTGCTGCCGCTATGGACGCTCCGTCGGAGCAGATCCAACCCGCCTCGGATTCCAAGCCAGCACGGTCGCTCATGCCTCCGCCCTTCGGTGCAAACAGGAAGCCCAAGGAAGGGACGGAGCGCCGGGCGTCGTAATCGTGCAGGAGGAGCCCCCGAAGTCCCAGGAAGTAGGAAAACCCAGGGCGCGGACGCAATGACGGACGGGACGGGAACAAGGGAGGAAGAAGGAGAGACTTTGCGGCGCTGGGAGCGGTAAAACGCCAGCCGGGGGAACCAGGGATGAAGAAGGGCTCGGGAGATCTTCCTGCCACCGGGGAACCTGGGAGTTGTATTTCTTTGAGCTACCGAGTCTGGCTCCGCCTCCTGGGTCCCTCGTGGTTGCAGAGGGCGCCTACCTGCAAGCCGCCACCTACCTGGCGGGTTGGGAATAGGGAGGGAAGCGAAGGGAGGCCGCTAGGGGCAATTGGCTCAACCCTCCCCTGTCCTGAGCTGAAGAGGACTCGCTTCTACACAAAAATGCGAGCAGCCCGGAGCATGCAGAGAGGAGGCGGTGTGGTGCTTCCTTCCCGGAATTCGGGGCTCCGGATCTAGACATTGTCAGCGGATTTCCCCCGGGTTCTCTAGTAGGGCCAAGCTGTGCTCTTGATTCGAAGGAGGAAAAAGGAAGGGGAGCCTGGCTGGCAGAGGCTTTCCTGTCACAGGAGCGCATCTTTTCCTGTGTTTCTCCCTTTGGAGTCCAGATCACCACACAGCCCTGCCTACAGTGACATTTAATCCACCATCTGAAAAAAAAAGCCCATGAAATCCATCAACGTTCTCCAGGGCACAGAACAAGTCAGTAAAAATCAAAAGCTGGAGCAGAGCTCTTTGGAGAAAGATGCAGTTCAAGTAGGACATTTTAGCATAGAAAAGAGAGTATTTTGGGTAGAGAACCAAAGGATCACAGGATAGCGACACAATCTGATACAGCGTTAATGAAGATGGAGAAGTTTTTCTCTCTGTAGCTCAGTTCTAGAAGCTGAGATCATCCCATGAAAAACAGTGGGAGATTTAGAGAAGATGAAGAAAATGCTGTAGGACACTTAAAACAAGTTGTTTGAGCTCTCCAGTTCCTGTTAGTCTCAATAAGTAGGTGGAAGGTCACAAGTCCATATCTGGAGACCCCCAGGATTCCTGTTTATGAATTGAGCAGTGGGATTATTGCCACCAGGACATTGGAGATATTTAGCCCAGTATAAGAGGCACTATGCTTCCACATACAGTTACTAGACAACTTGAGCGGGATACTGGGTTCATTTCTTGCTTATGGAGTCCCCACATCTGGTCAGCCACAGTGGAAGCTAGCAGATTCGTGTGATTTTATGTTCTTCAGTGGATTAATAGTGGAGGCATAGAATAGGGTCATTTCTTAAGTTCTTTGAAACCAATAAATATTCATGATCATTTGAAAAAAAATTCTTTTTCAAAAAATTCAAAATAGTTCAACATTCTATTTTGGAAGCATCATTTATCGGTTTACATGCATTTCTCTCTCTCTCTTTCATTTGTTACCACTTTTTATATCACCCATAATGCTTTTTGCCTTAAATGATACTGGGAACAGGCAGGTTTTATCTAGTCCTATTGTATTCTTTAGTCAACAGATCCAGATGAAAGAAGATGTGATTGAACAGGACACAGAAGATTGGCAGAGCAATTCCACCTTTACTGGACTGGAAAGAGTTGGAGGAATGGATTTGTCTTATCTTAAAGAAGATGCCACACGTGCCTGTGCTTCACTAGTGGTGCTCAGCTACCCAGAACTTGAGGTAACAAAGATAAAAGGCTAAAAGCATTACAAGGAAGTTTTGCACATCTAGGTTTAATATATTAAGATGATTAAAAATCCAGTTTCCAAAAGTTTGACTGCCTGCCTTAATAACTTTAATTACTGAGTGGGTTACAGCTCCTGAGATATTTGTTTCCGTAGTAGGATTGAGGATAAAATCCTAGAAGCAATTCAAGAGTCAGTGGTGAGTTTTGGGACTGTTGTCAAATTTAGCTATGGTCCAGCTATTGTCAGTTTAACTTGTCACTTTTCAAACTGTGATCTCCCAATCCTCTGATTCCCAAATTGGGAAACGTTGAGGACCATCAATCCATCAACATTCTCTAGGTGAAAAGAGTATATAGCATTTTCAAAGTTTTGTAAATCTTTGCCAATTTTGCTATCTCAGAGTGAAGTTACGGAATTATAATTTTACTTCTTATCAAATTCCCATATGCGTCACAGTTGCCTACAAGAGTATCTCTTCAGACAATGGTTACTTTAGAGCAGCATCTCCCAACCTTTTCTATACCCCGCACCTCTAGAACGCTTCTGATATAATCTCACACCCCTTACAAAAGTTCAAAATAACGGCAACGAATTATGCATATACACTATAATTTTGAAAACCCAAGTTTTCACACACCCTGGAATATCGTCTCGCACCCCTGCTTGGGAACCCCTGCTTTAGAGAGACTCAGAAACCACCAGATCTGATAAAGGGCTAGATGCATGAATATGTATGTTTTCCACTGATTCAGCCATTCCTTAAAAGATTTTCAGGTGTATTTTTGATTTCTCCATAGAGAATGAGCTGATGTATATAAAAATATATCAGTTTTACCTTCTTGAAAGCACTTTTAAACATTGTGTTGAAAATACAGATATTGTTCAGTGCCATTTTAGTTGCAAGAGAGCACAAATGTGATTGTCTGCCCACTACATTGAGCAATCAAAATATTCCTGGCCTTGGCTGCCAAATACAAAATTCTGGAGTTGTTGAGAGAGAGAAAATTGGCAGGAGATAAGCTTTTTTTTTTCCAGCTCTGAGACTTGAAAGAGATAATCTCAAAGAACAGTTTGGTAGACAAAGGAAAGGGATGTGACACTTCTTTAAGTTTTAGTTGAGATCAGAAGCAGGAAATCCTTTTTCTTACTTGGGTTTTTATTTCTTTCTTGCTTAATATTTTAAGTAAATGCTTAAATAAATGTTTATTTACTTATCATTTTAAAGAAATCTCTAGAACTGTAGGGAGCAATGTGATATTGCAATAATAGTAGATACTTCTGTATCTGTTTTCACCCTACATTTGCAAACACATGAGAAGATTAAATTTGAACCATTTTGTTGATTTGTTTAGGGCATGCCAAATGGGAACTGGGAGCTCCATTCAGTTCATGGGTTGTGGTGCCCATCTCTAACCTAGATGACCTTAAAAATACTAGTCTTGCTCCTTGGCAAAAATGTCACTTTTTCTTCTGTCATCACAGGTTCTCTACGAAGACTGCTACGTGGTGGCTGTGAATGCTCCCTATGTGGCAGGATTCCTGGCTTTCCGAGAAGTCCCTTTTTTACTTGAGGCTGTACAGCGGCTAGAGACACAGAAGCCTGGCCTCAGGCCCCAGGTGGGATAGTTTTTGTTAATGAAAGGAGTGCTGCTACCTTATGCCAAGGATATATTTAATCCAGAATTCCCCTCCTTCAAAGAACTAATAACTAGGGCTTCAAGGCTTCTGGCTTCTAGCATTTCGTGGCTTAGTCCCTGTGAATATGGATGTTCCCTTTGGGTATCTGTGACTGTTTTTCTCTCACCTGAAGGCCAGATGTCCTAAGAACATCTCTATGATCTCTCTAGGAGGGCTAGGCCCAAAGCCAACATCTTTAAACTGTGCTACAGACCCAAAAGGACAGCAGCTCCAACCTAACTTAAAGCTGTTGAGTCATCCAGTCAGAATCGAAAGCACCCTTCCTGCCAGGATGAAACTAGAGAGGTTTCATTTTAGGAAAGTGGAAGGCCCTAGCTCACCAAGATAGCACAATAAATCCTCCAGCAACTTTTCTCTCATAAAACAGATGCGAAAAGAGATTCTTGGAACTAAAGCACCCTGCAAATGTGATGGGAAGACAGCTCCCATAATTCCCAGTCTGCACAGCCATAACTTGCATTGGCTTGAGAATAATAGTATTTATAAACCCATACACCTGGATAACACCAGCTAGGGTGGGATCTCAACTAAAAAATGAATATGAATTTGAACATGTCACTTTTTTAATATATATATCTGATCTCGAGGGAAGACAAACAATGCACTTACACAGCAGACTCAAAAATGTTTTTCAGTGACTGAGATTCTGTGACTAGGTTTCACTTTATGGAAGAGGACCACCAATGTTATTTGCCTTCTTTTTTGATACTTTCTGCATGCAGACCAACACAGGCAACACTGACATCTCCATTACTGAAAAAGCTTCCCACTGTGTTACCTATTACTGAAGTGCCCCTTTGTGGGGTTTTTTTCCCCCTAGGTGCTTCTTGTAGATGGAAACGGCATCCTGCACCACAGAGGTAAGTTTCCTGGGCCATCCTTGCTAGTAAATTCTTTAGATTTACTGTACTGTACATTTGCATGTAGATTTAAAATAAATCCTTTAGATTTACTTTCCATCTCTGAGATGTTTAGAGCATGCCTGGTAGATGCCAGCATGGGGAGTCATTGGTTGATTTCTCATTATTGTAGTGTTTGCAGAGCTCTTGGGGGGAAAGAAGTTATCCGTGTTCATCTCCTTGGCAGTTGTCAGAGAGGGAGGAAGGGCAAACAAAAGAATTCCATCACCTCTCTGTAGGCTGATCTAGCCTGCTTGCTGACAGTGAAAAGTCCGTCCTCCCTCGTGCCCAAAAGGAACAGCAGAGTAATCAGTTGGCATTTTGGTGAACATCAAGAAATGCATTGCAAGATTGACAGCAGTCTTATTTCCTTCTCGTTGGTTTCATCATGGTTTGCCCTTCCTTTGGGAGATTGTTCAAACTCCTGCCCTTAAAAAGTAGTGCCAGATTTTCTCTTCACAACAAAATTGAAACTTCTCTTACCAGTTTTTCCCCAATTTCTCCTTCTTCTGCATTATATTCAACAGGTTTTGGCATTGCTTGCCATCTTGGTGTTCTCACAGGTCTTCCCTGTATTGGTGTAGCCAAAAATCTCTTGCAGGTTGAAGGTTTGGCCAATGATGAGCTTCACAAGAAACAAGTAAGTGTTGAAAGGTGTGAATTACATTTCACATTCTTAATTCCAAACAGTAGGGGGATGTTAGAAGAACATCTTGTCAAAATTGGAGAAACTGCTATGTACAAATAGCTGTTCTGGGGTTTTTTTTCCATTTAAAATGAGAAAACGATGGTGTTACCCACAGGATGAAATTTGTTCAGACTGATTGACAATTATGTAGTGACCAAGATGCTCTGCTCACTGTATTAAAAAAATACAGTTAACTTTGGCTTCCTGTTGTGTGTGTGTGTGTGTTGCATGGTTTTGACCCATGAAGATTATTGCAGGGGAAGACACTTATTTCTATGCAGAATAAAACCTTTAAAGGAGAATTCTAGCCAAGCTATTTTGATTTCAGACTTTTATTTAGAGATGTCCTGTATAGAACAGCAATGGAGAAGAAACACTGATACTTATGTGTTTTTTTTAAATATTTTATTGAGTTTTATAAAGGTAATAAAGGGATAGGGTCAAAAAGGATAAGACAATGGGAAACATACAAAAAGGCTAGACCTGGGGAAAGGGGTAACACAAAAGTGGGATTAATCCCACAAAATAACATCGCTTCAGCAAGTCTACCAGTCTGGGTTTACATATTAAATCTTAATAATTACTCTATTATTAAACAACTTTCCATATAATCATATAAATAACAAATTAGTCAATAAATCTCATTCATTTCAGTACTTAACAATGCTTAGTATTAATTAATTAAGAAACAATGATACTTGACTAGCACAATCCCCTCCTATTTTTTTCAGAAAAGGCTACAGTTTAAGAATTAATCTTGAATTAATCCAATTACTTCATCTGTCCCAACATATCTGCTGTAGTACATTTCTTTCTCCATACTTCAGATCCAAGATCTTCAGGCAGGAGGAGATGCATTCCCACTCACAAGTACCTCTGGGAAAATCTTGGGTATGGTAAGTACTTTTGGGAAGGCAGAGCATGTCTATTGGAAGTGGAAAGAATCTGAAGAAATGAGTGCAATAAAAAAGAAAGACGGATTTATCCTCAGTCACTGAAGCAGTCTTTGCTTTCCAACATGAATATTGTCTTAAGTATCAGATTTTGTCTGGGGTGCTTATAGAAAACTGATTAATAAATGTGAATGAATGAATGCTGCATATTCACCTTCTTTTTCTTTCTTCCATTTCTAAATCCAGCTTCTCATTCCATTAGCTAAAATTTTCCACAGAGCTATTTTGTTAAATAGAAGAGACACCTGTTCCTCTTCATTCATGTTCTTTGGACGTTGCACAGTTTGCATGTGTCTAGCAGTATCTCTGTTTCTTATCTGCCCAGGCGTTGCGTAGCTGTGTCAAGAGTACCAAACCTGTGTACATCTCAGTAGGCCATAAGATAAATCTACTGTCAGCTGTGCGCCTGGTCCATTCTTGTTGCAAGTATCGGATTCCTGAGCCCATCCGGCAGGTATGATAGAATGTTGATACCAGCAACCTCAAGCTAAGCAACTTGGTCAACACTCTAAACGTTTGGATTTCAATTCCCAGAGTTCCTAATTAACAATGACCATTGCTAGAAATTCTGGGAGCAGAGGTCCATTCATCATTCTAGAGGACACCCTTGTTAGAAGAGGCTAGGAAACTAGATGGGGGCTAGGTGATCTGAGCTCTGCTCTATCAGATCATTTTTAACTTCATTTATTTTACTATTATACTTCACCAAATACTTCTGGAAAGTCATAAATAGGCTGCAAAGTTGACAGCAATCCTATTGCTGTTTATTTTCAATATTCCGTCTCCTGAAAATGTGCAAATAAATCATTTTAGGGCTGGATTTGGAAATTTAGAAAATGACATAGTTCATCTGGGACTACATAAGCAATTATGCAGTTTGATTGAATCAGAAGCAAGATATAGTAATTTCAACCGTTAGGTTTCCTGTTGATTGAAAACCAAAAATAGATTGAACATTTTTAATTTAAAATAAATGTATATGAAATTTACATTTATATCAGACTCTTCCAAAGAGTTGAAACTTGCGCAGTATCAGAGAAATTGAAATAGGAATTTTAAAGTTTAGATTTTAAAAAGGAACACTTCCTTTTTAAAACCTAAAATTTACTCCGGATCTGCAGAAATGGTATCTGCTCCATTTTGGGGGAGATCCATGTTATCCCCTTTTTTGAAAAAAAAAATCTTTAGAACAGTAATGTTTGGATTTAGAAGCCAAGATGTATTCTCAGTGAAGAAGCACCACATATTTAAACAAAAAGCTTTATACAACTAGTTCCTGGATCACATTGCTTGCTCAGTGAATAGGATCTGCTGGGCCAACTGTACTGCTGATCCTTCCAGGAGTCTGCAGGCTACAGAGATTGCTGAACCAGAATGCAGCCAGTGGATGGCAGTGCTGGATTACCATTTATGTACCTTGAGGCAGAGTTTGAGCAAGGAGTGATTTTAGCACAAAATGTGCTGGCCACAGACTTGCCAAGTTGCATCCATGCCTTCAATATGTGGCAAATGTGGCAAAGAAAAGCTTAAGCAGAGCAGTTTCCTCACCTTGTGACAGCTCTAACAGAAGGTACCATTCCTAATTTCAGAGTGCTCAGATTTATGAGTCAATAAAGGGCCACCACACCCGTGTCAGCATCTTTCTAAAGGCTAGCTTCATTCTAAGCTTCAAAGAGAGAGTCCATTTAAACCTCTTATAGGTCCCAGCAATAAATAGTTTTAGGGAAACAAAAGTCAGCATGTTGAGATGTTCTTCTCAAGCTGAAACATACTTTAGATGTGAAAATTTCGAGTGATCTAGTTGTAGAAGGAAGGCAGAATACAAATCGCCACAAGGCGACAACAAGATGTTAAGATTTTCTGCATCTCTTTGCTTCCATTATTGGTCGTCTGGATTTTTGCAACTCAGATCTGGTAGCCTTGCGTTTGATCAGCCCTTGATCGTTGCTTGCATTTTTGTTCCTGATGTTGTCTTTAAGGTGTGGCTCAATGGTAGGTGACTCAATGATTTATGCTTGGCCTGCAGAAGTGTCAACTTCATTCCCTGCCATCTTCAGATAAGGTCAGTAAAATGCATTCATGAAATCCTTGAAACCCACGTTCAGGCAGTGTTGATAGTACCAAGCTGAAAAACCAGCAGTATTGGACAGCTTCCTATGTTCCTTACCCACACATCTTCATAAGAATTACTGAACAAATAACACAGGCCCAAAATTAGGGTCCATGCTCTGTGCATGATAGTGATTAGAAGCAGCAGATGTTCCTTCTTCTAGTATGTAGGAAGATATATGCACGATTCTTGATTGTCAATGCCTCCAGCACTGGCACAGAAGCCATAAGTATTTAAGAGAGCCAGTGTTTGCATCACCTCTGATGCCATTTTATGGAAGTAAAATTTCATGTGCCAAAACTGACCGCCTTCAAACTTTTAGTCATCCAGTAATATTCCTTCCGATGTTTCTCCATTGCAAGACAGACACAACTCTGTGTCCTGCTTGCTCCCATCCTCTCTTCCTTTGCTGCAGCATGTCTTGCATTTCACAGCCCATTAGCATCTTTATGCTGCCACTCCCACTTTTCTCTCTGAGGAAAGTCAAGCTGCAGCCCAAAAGTGGAAACAAGCTTAAAGTAAGAAGAGGTGTCTTGCAGCCCTGGGATAATAGAAATAATACATGGTAGAAGTCATACGTTTTGCCATCTTTTCTTAGGTTGCAAAAAAAAGCACTTGCACAGTCTTGGGCTTTTTGTCCAGTCTGACCAGTCTGATGTTTTCTATTTTTTGATACTCCTGGCATAATCCCCAGTCTCTAATGCTATTGCTAGTCTACTCCAAAAATAGATGCAATCTTGAAGGATTATTAAGGCAACATGACCCGCCTTATTGATTAGCCTCTTGGGTTAATAAGCTAGATTAAGCCGTCTTAGCAGAATGTTAAGAGTGAAATGATGCTACAATCTAAGAGGACACTTAGCTCTTCCCTTTCCCTGCCATGGAAGCAAAATGAGGGTGGCATTAATAATCTTTGATGAAGAAGCAGGAAAATAAAACAGAAGGCATGTTATTGAAAAGGTATTGAAATGTTCAGTATTGCCATTTCCTGGATATTGAGCCAATTGTATACCTAGCCATTGCAATCTCTGGGCCACAACATTCATCACTGAGAACACAGTCTGTGGTCAAACAGGAATAGTTATTTGCTAACTAGTTTTTTTTTAATCAGTTATGGAGAGAGATTTTCATACAGTGTAAGGGTCTCATCTTAAGCCATATTTATTTTCATCCCAAACTGATTATCTTTTGTTTTTAATCATCTCAAATGTAATTTTATTAAGAATTTTAAATACAATAGTAAAACCTAATACAAACTAAACTTAGAGAAAGAGAAGAGAATGGAAAGAATGAATGTGCAAGAAAAGAGAACAAGAAAAGAGTATATAAGAGAGAGAGAGAGAGAGAGAGAGAGAGAGAGAGAGAGAGAGAGAGAGAGAGCTTCCAACCTTCATCACCACAAGTATAACAACTCTTCCAAAATTAGTCATCTCTTCATCCCATGTGAACTATAAATAAATCTGTAAAACCTCAACATTTCAATCTTGGTGTCAGCAAAAAGTCCATAAAGGGTTGCCAGAATATCGCAACAAAATATTTTAACCTTGATCAAATCAAGCAACTATATATTTCTTCATTTTACTTCTAACAGTCTTAATCTTTCATTCAATCAAAAGTTGTCATAGGATTTTTTTCCCCAGTTCTTCTTTATCCCGTCATACAGATTTCTTTAAGGTTTTAGCAAGTCTTTTTACTAAATCCAATATGAACGTATTTTCCATGTCATTCTCTTGGCGAATCATTTGTATTTTCCTTTTGATTTTTAAAACTTCTGCCAGTTTCTATTGTATATCCATTAACACATCATTTTCCAAATCGTTATCTTGGTATTTCATTTGTAGCTCCATGTTCTCTACTTTATTTGATCATATAAAATTGGACCCACATCTTTCATTCCTCCATTAACATGTTTTAGTCTGTCCCAGGGGTAGGCAACCTTGGCTCTTTTATGACTCGTGGACGTCAACTCCCAGAATTCTTGAGCCAGCATGGTTCAGCTTGGAAACCTCTCCCTTCCCCTGAGCATAGCTGGCTCAGGAATTCTGGGAGTTGAAGTCCACAAGTCATAAAAGAGCCAAGGTTGCCTACCCCGGTCTATCCATAGAAGCATATCATTACTGACAGTGTTGATATTGTAATTATTAACTTCTGACTCCAAAGATTTCCTTTAATATTAACATTTGTTATAATGTTTTGTATCATTCTGTAAGTCTCAGGATTAACTGACATCAGCCTTTGTATTTTTTTTTTCCTGCTTAAAAACTTTATTCGCCTCCAATGTCCGGTTTCTAAAATAATCACTTATCTTTTGTTATGACTTGCCATTGCCAGGATAACCAAACTATACCTGTTTCCTACAAGAAGTTCTTTATTTTCTTATAGATAATTCAGAAACCTTATTTTACAATATTGTAAATTTACCTGGACCCTTAATCAATTTTTAACTACCTTAGATCAAAATCTTATTTAGCTTTTCACTGTTTATTTCAAATTCTTTAAGTTCTTAAGCTTTTAAATATATTTGGTTCAGAGTTGGAGATAAACTCACCCGAAGAAGATTTTTCAAATCTATCTCTAGATCTAGTTATAGAGTAATTAATAAGCAATTTCTGAAAGCAAATAGAAAGTGAGGTTTGCAAACTTAGCATTCTTTAAAAGTCTTCACCTTGGTTGGGAGCAAGAGGGCAAATCCCATTGTCACCTGTGCTCAAACCCTTGAAAAACGGCTTTCCTGTGGTCTCCTTGCCAGGAGCAGCAGCCATCTGGAGCCAATATGGGCAATCTGCTTTTATCTAGAGGTTCCAAGGAACTGGTATGCTCACCAGTTCCATGGTCTTTGCTGCAGATGCCATCTCTGCTTTTGCAGAGCCATCTTCAGTTTTTAATTATCTAAAATTCTGTTTCCAATTTTCTGGTTATTAAAATGTTTTGCAGGTGCTTTTAAAGTAGAAAAGTTGGCTAAAATATGTACAAAACAAACAAAATGGCTAAATGGCATTTAATTATGTTGGAGATGACTGGCTTTTAACTTCGGTTACTGCCAGTAATTATTGGCTTGAGCCATTTGTGTTCAACAGTTTTTGCCTTGTAGAATTTATTGGTATGGAGTCAAATGATGTAAATTAATTTTGTTAGGCAGATCTAAAACAAATTAATTTGTCATAACAAATGTATCTAAATGTTCAAGCCCCAATTCTTTTCATAAAAGGTGGACATGCAAAATAGCCAAGGTGATCTTTTTGTCCCTGGCCCCGTTCATGAGGGATGCAAGCTTTTGTGTTACAGAAAGTTATTTATCTGCTCCCTAACCTGAAAGCTTGAATCATTACGTAGTACCAATAGTGAATGATTCCTATTTGTTCCTTCATATAGAATAGTTAACATAATAGGTTAAAACAGTAATGCCATTCTAGATCCTAGATTGCAGTTCCCATCATCATTGGCAGTCTAGAGTAGACATGTCAAACACAAGGCCTGGGGGCCGGATGCAGTCCGCGAAGCCATCCTGGAAACAGTGAGGGAACGGCCCCCGCTGCCTTGGCCCAGGCCGGCCGGGAGGGAGCCAATGTACAATTTTGTGGTGGCCATCTGTGCTGAAACACATTCTGTCTTAGCTCCACAAGGTCGTCTGGAAACAGTGAGGAACCAGCCCCTGCCACATCGGCCCTGCCCCCTGGGTGCATGCTGGGGAGGTGTCACCCTTTGTGAGGAATGAAGAAATGCACCATCGCCTGGAAGTGGTCAGCAAATGGCCCTCGCCTACTTCACCTATCCGGCTTGATGGGCTCCGGGGGAGGGGTTTCAGCAGGCAGTGAGGCTCCTCCAGTGGACCATGCCTTGGCACTTGCCCCGGTCCCACCCCCTTCTGCCAGAGACCCTCAGATCTGTCCCACTCCTGCCCAGGCCCCCACAGGCACCCTTGAATCGAACGATGTAGAGCTGGCCATGCCCACCCAATAGGCCACACCCATTCTGTCTACACCCACCCAGTAGGCCACACCCACCTGCTGCGTTCCACAGGGTCCCCGGCCAGCATACAGGTACGAGGGAGGGAAAGGGCTGTCGCTGCCATCCATGCTGCTGGGCCCATCTGTTGCCTCCGGTCACCGCCATCCGATGATCTTGCCCCCCTCCCCCTCCCATTAGTGGCAAGCCCACAGGGGCTTGACACCTGCACCAGGTGGCATGGCAGCAGCATGTAAAGAACCCACACAGGCATGCCCTGGGCTGCGGAGGTTACCATTAATTTTTCATGTATAAGACGCTGCACTTGTATAAGACGCATCTGATTTTTGAACAGGGTGTTTGCAGGAAAAAATAGCGTCTTATACACGGAAAAATACGGTATATCATGAGATGTAACCCTCAGTTCTCTTTGGGACAGAAGCTGCGTTGTGATTGGCCTAAATCTGACTAGGACTGATATTTGTGAGATGATTTTTTCCCCTCTAGGTACAATAATGTCAGAGCCCAGCCACCCTATCCTTTCTGCCTCCTCCCATTCTCCTAGAATCCTAGAAATTGTCACTTGCACCAGTCAGCCTAATTAGTCTCTTGTTCTTATTTTCCTCTTGGCCCTGATTATAGGCAGATATAAGATCCAGAGAATATGTCCGGAAACATATGGAGGTCAACATTGCTGTGCCCCCTCCTCAGCCAGAGAGGTAGGTGTTTATGCAGCTGGAAAGCTATATGTGCCCCACACACCTCAGTCAATCTGCTTTTTTAATGCTCTTTGGGAAAGGCATTAAAGTGGCATCCAGGGTCTGTCCTGTTCCTCAGGACCAGCTATTTCTGGCAGAGCCTCAGACGCCTCTGCAAATTACATGGTTTCCCAACATGTTTGAATCAGATTTGCTACAACTTTGAGATGATCACAAAACATGTTCATATCTTGGAGCAAAGGTGCTGTTTTGGCAGCAAAGGTATCTAGGAAATATGTATGTTCTGGAAGAGTTGCATGTCACCTTTGCTGTGATGCATCCAGAGTCGTTCCAGGACAATGACATTTTATTCTTAGAAATCCGTCTTCCAGTGAGTAGCACTAGTATGGGTGAACTTTCTATGAAGGAAAAAAGAAGAAGAAGAAGAAGAAGAAGAAGAAGGAGGAGGAGGAGGAGGAGGAGGAGGAGGAGGAGGAGGAGGAAGAAGAAGAAGAAGAAGAAGAAGAAGAAGAAGAAGAAGAAGAAGAAGAAGAAGAAGAAGAAGAAGAAGAAGAAGAAGAAGAAGAAGAAGAAGAAGAAGAAGAAGAAGAAGAAGAAGTAGTAGTAGTAGTAGTAGTAGTAGTAGTAGTAGAAGTGGAATTTAAGATCCAGCCTCTACAGATGGATTGGGATAACATATTCCGTCTTTACGTAATTGCATCCCAACATCTAATGCTAGTGCATAGATTTTTGTCATGACCCATGTTTGATCACTTGCTTCCTTCTTTAGAGGCCAAGATCTGGAAAGTGCCAGAATGGGAGAAGCTCGCAAAGATGAAGGCAAGCACTAAGGTATGACTGTTCCAGGGTGGGTGCTTAAGTTGGGACAATTTCCCACTCCAGACCTTATACTCTTTCAGATTCATTTTTTTTCCATCTTAGTTTGACCTTGTCCTGTTTTGTACCCTTCTTTCCTAGAGCTAATCACAAAGATGAGCTTTTATCTCTAAGGCTATCATCCTGGGGACGAGAATATATCCTCAAAACACTGCCCAGAGGTCAAAGACAATGAAAACAGCTCTTTCAAGAGAACTTTCATCCAGGGATTTGCCAGCTGCGTTTTGGAGCAAGAAACATTGTCTTAAACAGAGTGGGCCTGGGCTTTAGGTGAACACAAAAGGCAAACAAAATGACTCGGATAAGTAGTAATCTAAGGCAATGATGATGGTGGGCAGGTTGCCCTGTATAGCTGACAGATTTACTTTCCTGCAGTGCAGAGAATCTTGGGCTAATTCCTCAGGGAGGATTTCTTTTTTCTGCCATCTGCTCCATTCTTTATCCTGAAATCTCCTTTCAGTACACTGAAAATCCTGAAATTTAGGATAGCTTCCCGAGTTTTGGTCCTTTCCAGATGTGCTGCCTGGGAATTCTGGTGGTTGAGGGCCAACATATCTGGAAGGAAATAAGTCATTATGTACCAGTTTAATGGTCATAGGCTCGAACTGATCCCTGTAAGCAAAAAATACATTTCCCAACACTGCATTACATTTTGACAGAAGACCCTGAATGCTGACTATCGTATGGTATTTTGTTTTTAATGATTGTGAAATGTTGTTTTCTATTTATTTCATTTATCCTGTTTGTACACTGCACACTCCTTGTGGCAGTGTATGTGCATCTATGATGATGGGGAGTATATACTGGTTTTAATAGGTTGAATAGCATGAATTATTCACGACAATTTGGTCAATTTTCCTGCCATGAAACAGATGCTGGTTAAACCTGTTATTTAGCTAGAAAAGAGGTGGGGTTATCTTTGAAATCACAGGTCCCTTCAATACTCTTTATATTCTCTTTTCCCCATTTTAGCCAAAGAAATGTCTGAAAAGGGTCTATGACAATTTGCCATGGCCAACTCACCACGGCCAAATCGCCACGGACAATTCGCCACACCCAACTCACCATGGCCAAATCACCACAAATCACTCTGGGACAACTCGCTGCAGGACAAGAAACACTAATATCAAATAAATGGTGGAACAGAATGATTAAAGAAAGGATGCAGAAGGAGGGACAGATTGAAATGTGAATGACAAAAATTACAATATTTTTTTATTTATTTTAAATAATTAAACTGAATGGTTAAAATGTCCCGCAGTGAAGTTGTCCGTGGCAACTTGGCCCTAGCGAGTTCCGCAGCGAGCTGACCATTCTGAGTTGGCTGTGACAAGTTGGCCACAATGAATTGGCTGCAGTGAGCTGTCCCATTCCGTATGGAAGAGGCACAGTACATTGTCCTGATGCCTCACTGTCCATCCTTGTGTTATTGCTTTCTGCCTGGAATGGTGCCGAGATTTTGGAAAGACTACTGATGCCATGGTAGAACTAGGCAGCTGCTAGTTCTCAGGTCTGTCTCATCTGCCCACTTCTTGTCTCTCTTCCCCGAGAGCAGGTACTCATCAGTGCCAGAAATAAGTAGCTTGTTTCTAGGTTACGCACTCCTAGAGTTCTAATTTCAGAGTTGTTGTTTCAGGGCTTCTGTTCTCTAGTACCATCTTACTGTGTTGCATCAACTGTGCAACAGCTTCGAAATAGAAAAGAGAGTGTCTAGATTAGCACAACTTTGCTCAGGCTAGTGATAAAGCTAGTGAAGAAATCAAATCTGTTTACTAAGGAGGAAGTCCTGAGTTCAGTGGCACTTATTAGAAAGTCAGCAGGCTGCAGGTTGCAGCTTCTGTTCCCCACGGTATTCTAGCATCCACCTAGAAGTGCAGAAACACTTTCTGTCGATAAACAATCTCCGAAAACTGCTTTCCTGGAGATACTGAAAACATTGCTCAATTAATTAATTAGCTACCAGAGAGTCTGTTAATGAGCTTTTCAAATTTTCCTGCATTTGTTGGCAGCTCTAAGGGTTTTTATCCTCCTGCCCCTCTCCAGGATAAATGAAAACAGTCTCTGAAAATTAATGGAGCATCAAGAATGTGGTTCAATACATTTTTTCAAGTTATAATTCAATATACATTTTAATCCTTTACTCCACATATTTTCCCATTGATCAAGCATTCTATTCAAGTTTTCTCCCATGCAGTCTTAAACATACAGGTAGTCCTTGACTTACGACCAAAATTGAGTCCAGAATTACAGTATTAGTCATTGCAGTCTTTAAGTGGGCCACTATGTAACTGCACCAAATTTTACAACCTTTTTTATGGTAGTTTTTAAGTGAATCCAATGGGTGGGTTTTTTTGCAACCGTTCCTTATGTGTTTTAGCCTCCAGTCCCCTAATCATCTTTGTTGCTCTTCTCTGTACTCTTTCTAGAGTCTCAGCATCTTTTTTACTTTGTGGTGACCAAAATTGGATGCAGTATTCCAAGTGTAGCCTTACCAAGGCATTGTAAAGTGGTATTAATACTTCACGTGATCTTGATTCTATCCCTCTGTTAATGCAGCCCAGCACTATTAATGCAGCCCAGCTTTTTTGGCAGCTGCAGCACACTACTGGTTCATATTTAAATGATTGTCCACTAGGACTCCGAGGTCCCTCTCACAGTTATTACTATTGAGCAAGGTACCCCCTATAATATACCTGTACATTTGGTTTTTCTTGCCTAAATGTAGAACCTTACTTTTTTCACCATTGAATTTCATTTTGTTAGATGGCGCCCAGTGTTCAAGTCTGTCCAGGTCTTCCTGTATCTTAAGCCTGTCTTCTGGAGTGTTGGCTATTCCTGCCAGCTTGGTGTCATCTGCAAATTTGATGAGTTCCCCATCTATATAAAAGAAAACTTATCCAACTTCCTTTGTTTATAAACTCATACCAATCAGCAGGGTAAACAAACAAAAAGCTACATTTCCATGGAAGTCCACAATCAGGAATTCCAAGGTCCGGTTCCACAAATGCAGGTAAACTTTCAACATCCATACAAATAAACGTTTTGTTTAAAAAAGCAATTCAGTAGTCCAAATTTTCAACTCACATCAGGTTTTTATATACTAGTTACAAAAAATGCTGAAAATCTCTAAAAGGAGATACTTCATTGTATCTCAAGAAAGCCTCTCTTCAACTAAAAATGTAGTGAAATATAAAAAGAGTTTTAGAAATGGTAGTTCTAGGGCAGGGGCAGGCAACCTTGGCTGGCTCAGGAATTCTGGGAGTTGAAGTCCATGAGTCATAAAAGAGCCAAGGTTGCCTACCCCTGTTCTAGGGGCTGTCTTAATCGGGATATGCCAAACTTGCTGTATACCCCATCTCTCGGCTGCTAAATTCACCAGCTGATTGCAAAAATTTCTGTTTCGTGATCTACCTGCAAGGAGCAGCTAACCAGAGGGCAAATAGATCAATTTCCAGGATTCTCACTAACTCTGGAGAATTCTTCAGGCTACAAGAGTCCTACCTAAGCCCCAAATCAGCTGTGACATCATTCACCATTCCGAGGGAGCTGCTGAATCCATCATTTTCCTCACAAAAAATCTTTTCTTATACCAGAATTTTTATAGAATTTTTATAACATGATGTACTATTGGTATTTAACACTTGATAAATTGTCAAATATGTATAAGGCATCTGAAGATACATTTTATCTTTGGTGGACATGTAAAAAAGCAAAAAAAATTAATTCTTGGAATAAATGTGCAATTGAAAACAGATTTTTTCATTTAGGTTTGATGGATTAAAAAAAAAAGTGGGACTTTATTATATATGATAGCAGCAAGACTTTTATATGCACAGAGATGGGAGGATTTACAGATTCCGACAATGGAAGAATGGATGGTGAAATTAGTGGAGTTGGCAGAGCTGGCAAAATTGACAACTCTGATTAAAGAAAGACTTTAACTTTGTTTCTACTTTTGGATTGTTTGCTTGAAACTGAAAGATACGAAACTTTAATTGTGGGATTTGATGATTAGAACAATCAATATATTGCAGTGATGGCGAACCTTTTAGAGACCGAATGCCCAAACTGCAACCCAAAACCCACTTATGCATCGTTGGGTGCCGGGTGGGTGTGGCCCATTG